GCCGGCGCGCATCGCGCATGCGCGGGGCGGTCCGCTATGGCGGCCGAGCCTGAGGCCTTCCTGGTGCCTCCGCCTCCAGCCTCCTCCTCCGGTGCGGCCGGAGCGCGGCGGGAGGACGAGGAGGAGGAAGCGGCCGAGCCCCCGCGGCCCCGCAACGGCTTCCGGTCGGCGGGGGGGGGCAAGCGGCGGAGCAGCTGCGGCGCCAAGCAGCCGGCGTGGAAGCGGCGGCGCCGGGCGGCCTCGGAGTGCGGCCCGGTGCTGCCGTCCGAGTTCCTGCTCGGGGGGAACATCTTCGACCCGCTCAACCTCAACAGCCTCCTGGACGAGGAGGTGAGCCGGGCCCTGAACGCGCGCACCCCGCAGAGCTCCCCGCTGCCCGCCCGCGGCCGCGACCCGGTGGAGATCCTGGTGCCCCGGGACATCACCGACCCGCTCAGCCTCAACGCGCCGGGCGACGGCCTCCGCTTGGCCTCCCCGGCCAAGTCCTCCCGACGGCGACACCGCCACCGCGGCCAGCAGCGAGCGAGCGCCGCCTCTGCTGCCTCCGCTGCCTCCGCCTCCGGTCCCGCCGCGTCCGGCCCCGATGAGGCCGCCTGCCCGCACGCCCTCCCCGCCGCCAGCACCCCCCCGTGCGCCGCCGCTGCCACCGCCGCCACCGCCGCCTGCCCCGGGCCCGGCCGGCATCGCAAGCGCCGACGGACTTGCAGTAAATCGGAAGGGACGCGGCCTCCACCGGAGAAGCCGAAACCGCCCGGGAAAACCCCTCCGCGGCGGCAGGCTCGGAAGTTCCAGTACGGGAATTACTGCAAATACTACGGGTACCGGAACCCCGACTGCGAGGACGGGCGGCTCCGCGCCATGCGGCCCGAGTGGTTCGCGGGGAAGGAGGTGCTGGACGTGGGCTGCAACGTGGGGCACCTGACCCTGAGCATCGCCAAGCGCTGGGGGCCCGCCCGGGTGGTGGGGCTGGACATTGACGGGGGGTTGATCCGCTCGGCCCGGCAGAACATCCGGCACTACCTGTCGGAGGAGATCCAGGCCGAGGCGGGCGGGGGGAGGCGGCAGCAGGAGGAGGAGGAGGAGGGAGGAAGGGGTTTCCTGCGGCTCTGCTCGCCAGTCGCGGCCCCATCGCTGCCCCCCGCCTGCCCCCCGACGGGCCCGGGGCCGCCGACTTCCCGCACAACGTCGTGTTCGTGACGGTGAGGGCCTAAAGGGGGGCTTGGGGGGGGAACCCGGGGTGGGGGGGTCTGTGGGAGGCCTGGAAGGGGGTTGGGGGGGTCTCGCGGGGAGGCAAAGTAAGGTCGGGGAGGGATGTGGGGGGGTTATATAGGGATGTGGGAGGGTTATAAAGGATATGGGAGCATTATATAGGGATATGGAGCGTTATATAGGAATATGGGAGCATTCTATGTAGGGGAGGGGGCTGGTGGTGATTTGTGGTGGTGATGGTGAGGATTGGGGGTCATAAGGGGGTTTTGGGGAGACAAAGTATGATTTTGGGTTGAATACAGTGGGTATTGGGACAGGGTTTGGGGGTCGGGGGATTGGAAGAGTTTGGGTACGGGGTGGGGCTTAGAGAGGGGAGGAGCTTAAAGGGTGGGACTGAGGAAGACACCGCTAAACCCCATCCACAGCGCTTGTTTGGCCCCCCCCCCCCCCCATTGCAGGGTAACTACGTCCCCGAGCGCGAGGAGGCCGTGGCCGCGCAGCGCCCGGAGTTCGACGTCGTTCTCTGCCTGTCCCTCACCAAGTGGGTGCAGCTGAACTGGGGCGACGAGGGTCTCAAGCGCCTCTTCCGCAGGGTCTACCGGCACCTGCGCCCCGGCGGGCTCCTGCTGCTGGAGCCGCAGCCATGGGCCTCCTACCGCAAGCGCAAGGGGCTCACCGTGAGTGGGGGGGGTATTTGGGGGGGAGGGGGGTCAGGGCTGGTTTTAGGGGGTTCAGAGGCGGTTTGGGGGGGTCTCAGGGCTCACTTTATGCCACCCCTCCAGGAGACCACGTACCGGAACTACCAGCGGATCCGGCTGCGCCCAGAGCAGTTCCCGTCCTACCTGACCTCCCCCGAGGTGGGGTTCGACAGCTACGAGCTGCTGGGGACCCCCCAGCATGCAGCCAAAGGTGGGAGCTTCTGGAGGGGGGCTGTGAGGTGGGTTGGAGGAGCAAGAATGGGGCTATGGGGTGAAATGGGGAGGGTGGGTCCCATAAGGACATCCTGGGGGTGTGGGGTGAACTTTGGATGCTCCTGACCCCCCCTTTCTCCCCACAGGCTTCCAGCGGCCCATTTATCTCTTCCACAAGGGCCAAGGCAACGCCCACTGAGCCCCCCCCCACGACCCACAACTGTGGGGGGACCCCGATGCCACCAATGGCGGGGGGGTTCGCTCCTTCCCCCCCCACCCACAGAAGAAGATGCCAAATGGGGGAGTCCACCCCCCCTCGACTTTGGGGTGTTCCAACCCCAGCCCCCCTTCCCCCGCGGGTGTTTGCGGTGGTTTGGTCTGTGCTGAGGGGGGGTTGGGAATAAAGGAGGTGATTGGTCAATGTGGGGTCGTTTCATTGGCGGGGGTGTCACCTACTTTGGTCCAGCCCATTTTTGGTCCCCCCCTATGTGGGGGGAGAAATCTGTGCCCATTCTGTCTCACCCATCGTTCAAGGGGTGGTGTTCCCCACCACCACAAGTGGTACAGCCCAAAAGGGTGTCTCCAAGTGCTACCATTGACACGGATGCAAATATCTCCCCCTCCGCATCATCACCATGGTACATCTCCGTTACCATAGTGACCCGTTGGCACCGCCTATGGACGCTGCACATGCGCGAGAGCGCAAGGGATTCTGGGAGCTGTAGTTTTTACCCTGGACCACCATCACTCCACCGTTTATCGCAATGGCTGACGGGAACGCATTCCCCAATGGGGGGCGTCTGTGAATAACTCCCCCCCCCCCGATTCACCCACAAAGCTTGAAAAGAAGGCTTTATTTTGTGGGGGGGTGGAGAAGGGGATGACTCCCCCTCAGCCGCCCCCCCACTGCTGCAGCTTCCGGTACATGACGAAGGCGGCGTCGGAGGGGCGGGGGAGGGGCCGGAGGGGAGCGAGGGGGGCGGAGGGGGGCAGCCAGGGCTCCCCCTCCCCCCCCGGAGGGGCGCCAATGGCAGGGCCGGGAACCTGAGGAGGAGGGGGAGGAAAAGACCAACACAGTGCGGGGGGGAGCAGGGGTGAGGGGATTGGGGTGCAGGGAGGGGCGGCTCTCACCTTGTGGGGCGCGCTGTGGGGCAGCGCCCCCCTCCTGGGCCCCATCGGGGGGGGCACGGCGAGGCTGACGAGGCCGCGGTAGAGGCGCTGCGCGGGGGGCACGTTCATGGCTGCGGAATGGGGTGAAAAGAGCGGATTTCGATTAAAACGAGAAGGGAGACAAACACAACCCCAACCCCATCCCTCCCCTACATCAGGGCCTCACCTGCGGCCGCCGCCCCCGCCACGGCGCAGCGGGCAGCGAACGAGCTCCCGAGCAGGGCCGCGGCCGCGCGGGGGGCATCGAACGGCTCCGGCCCCCCCCGCGCCTCTGCCGCCGCCGCCCGGGAGCTGTTGGGAACCGGGGCCGCCAACGGGGCCCCCCCGCGCTGCTCCTCATGGTCCTGCCCGGGCCCCACCACCGCGAACCGCACCTGTAGGGGGTGGAGGGAGCGTGAGCGGGGAGGCCCCGCCATGGCTCAGCTCCCCCCTCCCCGTTAAGGGCTCAATGGTGGGGTCCGGACCTGCCGCCCGCATCCCCCGCGCTGCCCTCCCCCCCGCCGCAGGATCCCCCCCGGTGGCGGCGGCTGCGCGGCGCCCGGCGGCCTCATCTCGGGGTTGGACACGCCCTTTCCGGTGCAGACCACGCCCCTTACCAAGAAGGCGGCCTCCAGCAGGAACACCCTCTCCAAGATGGCGGCACACACGCTTCACCGTTCCAAGATGGCGACGCACACCGCTCCCTTCTCAAGATGGCGGCGCCTGTCCGTGCCCTCCCCAAGATGGCGGCCAATGTGTTCCACCCCAAGATGGCGCCCACTCCCCCGGCCCTTCCCAACATGGCGGCGCTCACAGGGACTCGAGTTCGGATTCCGCCTCCTCCTCCTCATTACCCCCCCTTTTTAATTATCGTTAATTAACAACAGCGCTGCAAAACACTCGCTTTACTTAAAACGAGGCGGGGAGGGGGGTCAGGGGGGGTACCCATACCCCCCCTCCAGCACCTCACAGACCCCGATCTGCGACCATTTATCACCCCATTGCCCCCATAGGGCAGCCCCAGAGCCCCCCAGTCTCCCAGTCCGGACCCCTCACCATGGCCTGCTCAATGCCGCTGCCTGTGCCGGTCACTCCGCTGCCAGCGCTGCAAAGGAAGCGGATGGGGGGCGGGGGGGGCTCAGGCAGAGCTCCCCCTGTAGGGATGGGGAAGGGGATGCAGGACCCCCTATTAACATCCAGTTAAGCCCCGCCCCTTGAGGCCTCGCCCACCGCTCACACCTCCTCCTCGTCCTCCAATCCCCATCGAGCGCTCAGAACTTGGCAATGAGCCTGCAATGAATGGGAGAGGGCGTGGTCACGGAGGAGGGCGTGGTCACGCTTACCCCCCCCCCCCCCCCCCCCCTTAGCCCCGCCTCTCACCTGGCCCAGCTCGCGAAGGCGCCGAGGAACCGAGGGGGCGGCGGCGGCAGCGGGAGGGGGAGCCGGGGCAGAGCGGGACCGGGACCCGGAGGAGGCGGGATCGGGACGAGGAACCCGCAGCCGGTTCCATCGCGGCCCCGCCGCGGGCGGTGCTGATGGCGGCAGCGGCGGTGGCGTCAAGGCCGAGAGCAACACGGCGGACACGGCGCAACGACCTACCCCTCGGCTCGCTGCGACCGCGAGTGCCGAGAACCGGAAGTGCGGGCCGCTTTTATATCGTGACGCAAATTGGGGGGCGTGTTTACGCGCTCGACGTCACGCCGCACCAAGCAGCACGTAAACACACCCTCCCGTTCCCCAGTGATTCCTCCACGCCGCTAGGGGGCAGTGCCGCTTCCGCCCTCCCCGCGTAGCCCGGACGCTGCGTCAGCACCATGGAGCGGCGGGAGGCGGGAGCGGCCGGTACGATGAAGGCGGGGACGGGGTGAGGGGGGGTCCGGCGCCCGTTTAACCCCGGTTAACCCCGCTCGCCCCGTGCCCAGGCCCGTAGAGCCTCGCCATGGGCGGCAGCCGCCCCCCGTGAAGCCCCCGCCCAGGCCTCGATCGTGGTGGTGGAGGTGGGGGGGGGGGCGAGGGGGAGGAGATCCGCCCCCCCCCCTCCTCCTCCTCCGCGGCCTCAACCCCCCCCCGAAGCAACGGAGCCACAGGTAACGACAGCGGGGCGGGGGGGGCGGTGGGGAGGGGGCCATGGGGCGGGGGGATAGAGAGACACACACCCCGTTTCCCCCCACCCCCCAGCGATGAGCGCCCCCCAGCGGTCGGAGCTGGCTGCCGCCGCCGCCGCCTTCCTGCGGCTGGGCGAAGAGCGCCCCCCAGCGGCCATGAACCTGCTGCAGCGCAAAGGACGTCAGGACTGGAGACCCCCCCCGCGCGAGGAGGAGCCGAGGAAGGGGTCGGTGCATCCCATAATAACCCCCTCTGCATCCCGTAATATCCCCCCCCGCTCCGCATAGTAACCCCCCCTTCATCCCATAATAATCCCCTGAATACACCCCATAGTAACCCCCCTCTGCATCCCATAGCAACCCCCCATGCATTTCATAATAACGCTTCCTTGCACCCGATAATAACCTCCCCTTGCCCCCCATAGTAACCCCCCCATCATCCCATAATAATTCCCTCACTGCACCCCATAGTAATCACCCCTGCATCTCATAACTCCTCCCTGCACCCCTTAATAAGCCCCCTTCTTCGCATACCACCCCCTACAACCCATAATAACCCCCTGCATCCATAGTACCCCCCCTTCACCCTGTAACACCCCCTTCACCCCATTATAACCCCCCTTTCACACCATAATACCCCCCCTGCATCCCATAATGACCCCCACCTGCAGCCCATAATAACCCCCCTTACACCCCATTGTAACGCCCGCTGCACGCCATTATAATCTCCCCTGCATCCCATAATAACCCCCACCTGCTCCCCATAATAAACCCCCTTGCACCCCACAATAACCCCCCCCCACCCCATAACCCACCATGGAATGGTGTAACCCCCCCATAATAAGGGGTTATAATGGATGGGTCCGGCTATTCAATGGCTTGGTTGTGGGGGGGTCCCCACTTCCTGGGGTACCCCCTGACACCCTCCCCCCCTTTTTGTGTTCTCCCACCCCCAGAGCCTCCAAGGCACGGGACGGGGGCAGCTCCCTGCGCCGCCCGCTGCGGGTGGGGTTCCTGACGCTGCCGGCCCCACAGGAGAGGGGGCCCCGACCCTGCACCCCCGGCATGGCCCCGCGATCCCTCTCCTGCCACGCCGTGGGGCTGCCCGAGAGCGGAGCCCCCCCGCGGCCCCACGGCCCCCGCGCCGGACCCCCCGAGGGGCGCCTGGAGGCACCGCCGGCCAAGAGGGGAGGTGAGTGGGGGGGGTTAAATGGGGGGGGAGTTAAATGGGGGGCTATGGGGCGCTGACACCGCCGTTCCCTCCCTGTAGGTGCCCCGCGGGGGGGCTGCATGCGGCAGACCCCCCCCCTGAAGCCGTCCCGGAGCCCGCAGACCCGGCTCTCGGCCCCCCCAAGCACCTCGGAAGCCGGAGGGGGGGGCCCGGAGGGGGAGGAACCGGTGTACATCGAGATGGTGGGGGACGCGAGGAGGGCGGGGGGGGGCGGGGCCAAGAGGGGGGGCCCGCCCCCCCCGGCCCCCCCTCCCGAGGAGCCCGAAGCCATCTACGAGGAGATGAGCTGCCCCCTCCCGCCGGGCGAGGACGGCGGCCACGCCCCCTTTTCTCGCCCCGCCCCTTTCCATGGCCACACCCCCTTCGGGGCCCCCGCCACGCCCTTCCCCGGCCACGCCCCTATTCCCGGCCACGCTCCTATCCCCCCACCCTTCCCCAATCTCCTCACGCCCCGCCCGCCGCTCCTGGCCACGCCCTCCGAGGGCTCGCGCCTGCCCCTCCCTCGCCGCGAGGCTCCGCCCCCTGCCCGCGCGCGCAGCCACTCCACGCCCCTCCCACCGCCCCCGTCCGCCTCCCTCCACCACCCAGGGGCGGGGCGGGAGAGGGGAGGGGCGGGACTTGGCTCCTTGCCCCTCCCGCCTGCCCCGCCCATCGCCGCCGAGGCTCCGCCCCTCGGGAAGCGCCCGCCAGCCTATGACAGCTTGCGAGGGGGCGTGGCCTCGGCAAACCCCTCCCTCCCTCGTGAAGAAGACCCCGCCCCTCGTCGCGCAGGCTCCGCGCCCAATCGGCGTGGGAAAGAGGCCGAGAGTGAGTTGGGATTGGGGGGAGATTGGGATGGGGGGGGGGAGGGGCATGTCACTTGTGGGCGAAGCTGACCTTTGACCTTAAATCCATAGGGACATCAGAGCCCCCCCGGGAGGAGCGGGGGGGGGTGGCTCCCCCCCCCTCGGGGATCCCGGTGCGAGCAGAGGGGTCCCGGGGGCGGCCGGGGCCCCCCCTGCCCTGCCAGACCTTCCCTGCCTGCGGGCGGCCGTCAGGTGGGCACATGGGGGGACAGGGATATGGGGGGGGCAAATGGGGGGACACGCGGATGCTACCATTAACGGGGGGGTCGCACATAGCCCATCCCACTGACCACCCCCCTCCTCTTTATTCCCCCCCCAGACTCCCCCCTCGGGCACCGCTTGGGCCGCTCCGCCTCCACCTCCGGGGTGCGCCATGCGGGAGCCCCCCCTTTTCCCCGCGGGCCACCCCCCCCGGTGCGCCCGGTTCCGCCGCCGCCCCCGCCCCCAAGGCCGCTGTCCGGAGGGGTCCCACCGAACGCCGCCCCCCCCCGCCCGCGGGACGGGCGCCTCCAGGAGGTGATCGACCGCAAGCGCTGCGTCTGCACCGAGATCAAGGCGCGGGGGGGGCGCGGGGGGGGCGGGGGGGGCTCTGCAAGCAGGACAGCCTCCCCGCCCCCCCCCCCGCCTGGCGGGATGGGAGAACCCCGCCCCCGCCTCCACCCCCCCCCCCACCGCCCCCGCCGCCCCCCCCCGGGACCCCCCCGGCCCGCAGGCCCCATGCAGTGCTCTGGGACACGGCCATCTGACCCTCCCCACCCCCACCCCGGGGTGCCTGGAGCATCTCTGACACCCCCCCCCCAAGAAACACAGCGCAAGGGGGGGGGGGGGGCAGATAAAGGGGTGATATGGGGGGGTCTAAGGGGTGGGGGGAGACGCGGCTGGGCCGGGTTAGGGGAGGGGTTGGGGGGGGGTATTTATGGTACATTCACCCTCCCGTTAATAGAACGGGGGGGGGACACCCCTAAAATGAGGGGGGAGAGGTGGTGACCCCCTCCAAGGGAAAATGGGGTTTCCCATAATAGGAGTCAGTAGGGGGAAGTAGAGCAGCCTAATAGGGGGTGCAGCCCCCAATTAGGGGGACCTGAGTGTGGTGCCGAGGCTCAATCATGGGGTACAGCCCCCCCATTGCGGGGGGGTTCGAGCCCCTCCTATGGACTATGGGGTGGGGGGGCATTAAAGGGGGGTAGAGCCCCCCAATAAAGGGGGGGTCACCCCCTAAAGAGGGGTGGGCGCTGTAACTGCTTTGCAAATGTATTTATGGGGGGTTCACGGGGGGGTATTTATGGGGGTGCATCCACGGTTGAGCAGGTTCGGGGGGGTCAGCTCTGGGGGGGCCGCAGTGCGGCCTTGGGGGGGGAAAAGTGGGTTTGGGGGTGCCCCCCTCAATGGGGGGGGGTGCGAGGGGAAGGGGGGGAGGGCCCCCAACTCTTGCTTGGGACCCCCTCCCCACCCCCTTTGTGCCTCGTCGTGTGCCCCCCCCACCAGAATTGCCTTTGTCCCCACGGGGGGGACCCCGAATTTGGGGGGGGAGGGAAGGGGAGGGCGGGGGGTCCTTTTGTAACGTGGTTCTGTGCACTATTAAAGAGAGAAGCAGCTGGAAGAGACCATGTGAGGGGATGGGGGGGACACCCCCAAAGAGGGCACCAGGACCCCGCCTAAAGCGCTCCTGTTTGGTGGTTTGGACCATTTTGGGGTGAAAACACTTCGGGGGGGGAGTCTCTGGCACCAAACCTCATCCCTGCGTCCATGGTTGAGAAATAGTGAATTTGGGTGAAAATCACCCCAAATTGGGCTGATTTGGACCATTTTGGGTTCAATGGCGGGGTCGCTGAGGGGAACAGGAGTTGGAGGGGGGCCTGAGGTGTTTGTGAGGGGGAGCCCCGGTGAAGTGATTGAGGTAGACCCTTCCCCTCCCTCCTGGGTGCGGAATAACAGTGAAATTGAGTGAAAAATCACCCAAAAGGAACCATTTTTGCTGTAATTTCCCTAAAAAACGCACTTACCGCGGAGTGGGGCGGGGGGGAAATGCTGAGGGGAAGTGCCTCAGAGCGCACGCGCGAGGGAGGGAGGGGCCCTGTGGGCCCGGCTACGCAGCGCACGTGGTTACGTAGTAGGCGGAGCCAAGCGTACGCAGTGGGCGGGGCCGCCGCCGGGCGAGCGGACGCCGGAAGATGGCGGCGGGCGGCAGCCCCGGTCCCGGTTCCGGTCCCTCAGCGGGCCCCGGAGGGGCGGGAGGAGGAGGCGGCCCCGGGTCCCGGCGGGGGAGCGCGTCCCGCGGTGCGGAAGCGGAGGTTTGGAGCCGGAGGGTGCGGGACGTGGTGAGCGCGGCCCCCGGGAACCGGCGCTGCTTCGAGTGCGGGCAGCGCGGCGTCACCTACGTGGACATCACCGTGGGCAGCCTCGTGTGCACCGGCTGCTCCGGCGCGCTGTGAGCGGGGACCGGGCGGCGAGAGGGGCGGGGCCGGCGCGGGGGGCGCGGTGTCACGCTGTACGTAAGGGGTGGGGCCAAACAGGAGGGGGCGTGGCTTTCGCGGGGAGAACGACAGCTGCTGATTGGCTGCAGTTGAGCACGGGGCGGGGTTTTGGGGTGAAAACCCTGATTTTAGGTTCAAAACCCTGATCTTCATGGTACATCCCTGACTTTGGGGGTGAAACCCCCATTTTTGTGGAGAAACCGCCTTGTTTTGGGGTTCAAAACCCTGATTTTGATGCCACATCGCTTATTTTTGAAGAGAAACCCCTGTATTTGGGGATAAAACTCTAGTGTTGTTTTGAAAACACAGATTTTGGTGCCACTACCCTGATTTTTGGGGTGAAATCCCCATTTTTTGCGTAAAACCTCTGGTTTAGGACTCAAACTCCTGATTTTTGTGCCACATCCCTGATTCTTGGGGTGAAACCCCTATTTTGGAGCATAAAACCCCTGGTTTTGGGTCCAAAACCCTGATTTTGGTGCCACACCCCTGATTTCTGGGGTGAAACCCCCTGGTTTTGGGGCTCCCTGCAGGCGGGGGCTGAACCCCCCCCACCGTGTCAAGTCCATTTCCATGACGACCTTCACTGAGGCTGAGGTCCTGTTCCTGCAAGCCCACGGCAATGAGGTCAGCTGAGGACATGGGGGTGGGGGGGGTCACAGCGGTCCCCTGCCGCCCCGTTGTCCCTGTGTGACCCCCCCGTGCCCCCAGGCCTGCCACCGTGTCTGGCTCGGCTCCTTCGACCCCCGCTCCTCACCTCATCCAGACGTCCGCGACCCCCAGAGCCTGAAGGAATTCCTGCAGGATAAATACGAGAGGAAGCGTTGGTACGGACCATGGTGGGGGGAGCACATTTGGAGATCCCCTCCGCCCCCTTCATTCACCTTTTATCCCTTACCCCCATAGGTACGTGGCACCAGAAGCCCCCAAACCCCCCCCAAGCGCCGTGGTTTCCTCCCAGCCACTCCTCGGGGATGTAGGGACACTGCAGCAGGTAACAAAGGGGGTGCTGAAAGAGGGGGCTGGTCATTGTCACCCCATTAACAACCCATTAATGCCCTATTGACATAACATTAACACCCCATTGACACCAAATTAATACCCCATTAATGTCCTATTAACCCCCAATAGACAACCCATTAACAGCCATTTAATGCTCTAGTGAGACCCCCTTTTAACATCTCACTGACTTCCAATTAACACCCCATTGACACCCCATTCCCCCCCCAGCCCCATCCTGCCCTGCAGCGCCCCCCCCAGCGGACCCGGAAAGCCAGCACCGACCTTTTAGCTGACATCGGGGGGGACCCATTTGCCACCCCACAACCAGCACCCCCTTCTGCCGCCTTCCCTGGTGAGTGCTGGGGGAGGAGGGCAGGTCAGGGGGTCCTGCCCATATGGCAAAGACAGGGGAGGGGGGTGGGGGTGACCTGGGATGCCCCCGTCTCCCCACTTAGGCCCAGCCCAGCCCTGCACTGCGTTCCCCAGTGTCGATGCCTTCGGAGCTGGCCCCGCAATTCTGGGAGCCATAAGTACATGGGGGGGAGTTGGGGGTCCCTTAGCATGGGGGTCCCTTAGGGGGCCTGGGGAGGGGGTTTGGGGTCCCCCCACTTCCTTAAGAATGCTTTGGGAGTGACCCCCACCATGGCTGTGTCTGTTCCTCCCACCCACAGGGGGCAGTGCTGCAGGGGGCGAAGTCGCCTCTGCCCCGCCCACAGGGGGCGGAGCTTCAGTCAGGTACAGAGACACCCCCCCATTGCCCCCCATTATTGGGGGGCAGAAGCTCACCCCCCCGCAATCCTTCCCAACAGCGTCTTCGGGACCCTGCACACCCCCCTGCTACCCTATGGGGGTAAGTTGGGGTTCACCCCCCCTTGGGCTACCCACAGTGAGTGGGACCCCAGGGTGACCCCTGTGCCCCCCCTCAGGCTACACCAACCCCTTTGTGGCCCCCCCCCGGCCCTGCACCAACCCCTTCCAGAGCGATGGTGAGTGTGAGACCTTCCCCCTCCCAGCAACGGGATTTGGGGGTGGCCCAATTCTGATTCCCACTCCCCGTTATTACCCCCTTTAGGTGCTGCTTTGGCCGCCCCCCCACTTCCCAGTGCATTCCCCCCGCCGCTGCAGGCTGATGGTAAGCACCCAGTATGGGGGGGGTGTGATATATCCCCCCCCCCACTGACCCCCGGCCGCTTTCTCTGCTCCCTTGGCAGGTTCAGCCTTCCGTGGCTTCAACGGTGTCAAAGCCTCAACCAACCCCTTCGTGGTGAGGAGGGGGTCTTGGGGGGGGCAATAAAGAGGACGCTGAACCCCCTTTTCTGCCCCTAAACCCTCTTTTTGCTCCCCCCTCCCCAGATGGTCCCGGCTGCCCCCATTGGCACTAAGCACCCGGCCACCAACCCGTTCCTGTAGCTGCTACTGCCGCGGTTCGGGGAACACGGGGAACGCCCCCCGCCTTCATCCGGGACCAGGTTCTCTTTTTACGACAGAGCTATCGCGATATCTAATATATATTCGATATAAACTGCGCCTAGCTTCGTCCCTGCCTCACAGCCCCCCATAAAGATGGCGGCCGCCGTGCTTTGGACGGCAGCAACGGGGGCTTCCATTAACCAAGATGGCGGCGGCCGCTTTACCCCTCTCAACCAATCCAAGCGCCGAGGCCGGCTGGGGGCGGGGCCTTGGTGAGGCTCAAAGGGGAGGGAGGAGGGGTCAGGCTTGGGCTCATCCAACACCTCCTGGGGGGAGGGGGATGTGATAATTGGGGGGTGTTAATGAGACATCATTAGTGGGGGGGCACAACGTCCCTTTTTGGGTACAGAAAGGGCAAAAATGAACAAAAAGAGCAGCAAAGGCAGAGGGGGAAAGGCAGAATTTACCCCCCACCCATTAGGAGCCAGGTCTTGGGTCCCCCCCCAATACTCACGCAGCACTTCCATGTCTATATATAATACATAGCAAATATAATTTAAGAGGATCTCTATCATTAAAATCTTAATTAAAATAATTAATTATAATAATAATTCTAATAATTAATTAGAATAATAACCGTTATAATAATTACAATAAAGAAAGGGGGGGTTCCCCCTCATTCACTTAAGGCTCCCCCTCCCTCCACCCATCCCTGCCTCAGTTTCCCTCATTAAGGCACACGATGGAGCAGGGGAGGAGTTGTGGGTTTAAGGGGGGGGGTCCCCATGGGTGGGAGTGCCCGTAGGCGTGTGTGTCCCCCCCCTCAGCACCCAAACAGCGCTCGATACCCAGCATAAAGCAGTGCCATGACCACGCCGTAGAAAAGGGCGAAGCCAGCGAGGAGCCCGGGGGGCAGCGGCTGTGCCTGAGGGGGAAGGGGGGACACATGAGGAGAGGGGGTCACAACCCCCCCCCCCATCCCCTTAACACACCCCCCTCCCCAGTTTACCTGCTGGGGATCCCGGGTCCGGTGGCTTCTTGTGGGGCTCAGTTTGGGCTGCAGGGGGTGGGGAGCATAAGTGGGTCATGGGGGTGTTGGAAGTGCGGGGGGGGGGGTGTTGGGGGGGGACACTCACAGCAGGGGGGGGCCGCAGGCACTGGGTCAGGCGGGAGAGCAGTTCCTCATTGCCCAGGTGCAGCTGCAGCAGCGACTCAATGCTCTGGGAGGACAAGGGGGGGCTCTTTAAAGCAATCCCCCCACCATGGGTTTGGGGGGTCCAAACCCCTCCCATTATGAGTAAGGTGGGGGAAATGGGGACCCCCCCGCTCCCCTTTACCTGTTTCATCTCAGCCATCAGCTCCCCCTCGCTGGTGTCCAGAGGGGCTGTAGGGGAAATGGGTGTCACAAAGTGGGGGGGGGGACGGGGACAAGGGGGGGTCACGAGGAGGGGGGCACTTGTGAGTTACCCGGTCTGGAGACCGCTGCATGGGTGGGGGAGCGTAGGAGAACACAGGGGGGGCGGGGGGCTTTGGTTGGAACCTGCATTGAAGAGGGAATGGGGTAATTAACACCCCTATTAATGAAGGTTAGTGAGGGTTGAGCTTAATGAGGGGGGCCTGGAACTCACCAGGGTGTTCCTGGGCTGGGAGGTGGGGCCTGGGTCCGAGAGGCTGTGGGGGAGGAAAGTGGCACCCCCAAATCCCTCATCCCAAACCCATTCCTGTCCCCCCTGCCATAGCCCAAACCCATCCCCATTTCCTGTCCCAAAACCCCCTTTAGCCCCCATTCCCTGACCAATCCCATCCCAGTCCCATGTCCTCATTACCCCCATTCCCAACCCAATTCCCATTCACATCCCATTCCCTTACCAATCCCATCCCAGTCCCATGTCCTCATTACCCCCATTCCCAACCCAATTCCCATTCACATCCCATTCCCTTACCAATCCCATCCCAGTCCCATGTCCTCATTACCCCCATTCCCAACCCAATTCCCATTCACATCCCATTCCCTTCCCAATTCCCATCCCATTCCTATCACACACCTGCCACCAGGCGCCTTCCCTGGGAACAAGCCCTGTGAAAGCGGAACACACAAATAATGGTCCTTATATTGAGGGGGGGGGCAGGATCTGGGGGTCGTCCCCCCCAGTATGGGGCAAGGGAAGGGTGGGGTCAGGGCTGTCACCTCCGGGGGGGGGTCCTCTTCATCCTCCTCAGCATCACTGTCACTGCCTGGGAGGAGGAAAGGGGTGAGGCGGGGGTCCCACTGGGGTAATGGGGGGGCCCTATTGGGGTAATGGGGGTGCTGCCCCCACTCACCGCAGCGCTTGCCCCAGAGCAGCCGCTCTGCAAACTCATCTGTGGACTGAACCAATGCACAACGGGGTGACATCAGGGTGGGGGGCACACAGTTACCCCCCGCCAGCAACCCAATAACCCCCCCCCCGGCACCCACCTCATTGCCAGACCAGCGCTTGCTGCCACTGTCGACGCTGTGGAAGCCAGAGTCCAGGCCATGGCCCTGCCGGGGGGGGCTCAGCTCCTCTGTGGGGCTGTGGAGGGGCAAGAACCAGGCTGAGGACCCCAAACCACACTGGATGGTGGGGACAAAGGGGGGGGCACCCAATTTGACCCCCATTTACCCTGCGGGGGGGGGCGCCCGGGTGGCAGCAGCCTCGGCCTCCAAGTACTTGAAGATGTGGACTTTGCCCTTCAGGCAGATCTAAATCAGGGTGGGGTTAAGGGATCAGATGGGGTTTGGGGGGGTCTGGTCCCCCCCGGCCACGCTCACCTGCGCGGGGGGGCTCTGCAGGGGGTTGTGCTCGGTGAGGATGCTCTGGAGGTGCCGCAGGCGCCGGTAGCACTGGGGAATCACCACCACCCGGTTGCAGGAAAAGTCGAGGCGCACAAGGGGCAGCTCCGACAGCTCTGGGGAGGGGGGGGGGGTCACTCACATACACAGAGATCAATGGGGTTGGGGGGGATCATTGGGGGATCCCCCTGTGCCCTGCACTCACCCATGGGCAGCGCCGTGAGGAGGTTGCGGCGCAGGTTCAGGTCCCGCAGCGCCCGCAGCTGCCCCAGCCCCCGCGGCAGCGCCCGCAGCGCATTGGAGCTCACGTCCTGGGGAGCATGGGGGGGGAGCAGTGACACAAAGCCGGGGGACTTGGTCCCTGAGTGTCCCCCCACTTTTCTTGGTGCTCACCAACTGCCTCAGGGCCCCCATGGTGCCGATGTTGTCCGGGAGCTGGGCCAAGCGGTTGTTGCTGGCGTTGAGGACGCGCAGGGGCAGGAGGCAGAGGCAGGGGGGCAGCGAGCTCAGCTGGTTCCGGCTGCACAGGGAGCGATGGGGGGGGTTAACGGGGGGGGGGGGGGTGAGGAAGTGTTTGGGGGGGGTGGGGGGGGGCAGGACCTGAGGTCGAGGTGGGCGAGTGCCTGGAGATTGGCGATGGCCGGGGGGACGCTGCGCAGGCAGTTGTGGTGCAGGCTCAGCCCCTCCAGCGCCACCAGGTGACAGGCGGCCTCCGGCACCTCCCCGAAGCGGTTGCGGGACAGGTCTGCGGGGAGGGGTCACTCGGGTGGCAGCAGAGAACGGGAGGGATGGGGACAGCCCCGGGTAGGGAGTGACAGGAATGGGGACCCGACGGGTCAAGGACCGTGAGGGAAGGCGCTGACCCCGGGGACAGGGACCAGCGCAGCCAGATCGCCCGGCTCTGCCCGCCCCGGCACCTCCTGGGGCCACCGGAAGCCCAAGGGGAAGGCCCGGGGCAGGGGCTGGTTCAGCCCAAAGGGTGGATGGGGGGGATTGGACGACACGCGGCTGCGCTGAGCCCCGCCGGGGCCATGGGGGGCACCGGGAATAACCGAGATCCCCCCCATCCCCGGTACGGGTAGTGCAGGCCCCACCGGGGAGGGGGCGTGGCCTCACCGGCCTGTGTGGTGTCGCTGAGGTCCCAGCGCCGAGCCGCAGCCGCGGGGAAGGAGCGCAGGCGGCGCCCGGCCAGGATGAGGGTCCCGGAGGCCGCCGCTTCCTCCAGGGCTCGCTCGGTGCCGGCCCCGCCGGGCAGCGGAGGCGGCGGCAGCAGCTGTTGGGCCTCTGCCGCCGCCGCCATGGCGGGAGAGCTCCGCACCCCGCGGCCGCCGCTGCTCGACTGCGCGACCGGAAGCTGAGGCCAGGGGAGGTGGAGCCTGCGAGGAGGCGGGGACACAGCGGCAGCCAATGAGAGAGGGAGGAGGGGAGGGGGCGTGGCCAAAAGGTAAACATGCGTGTGAGGGGCGGTCTTGCTGACCGGTTGCAACCAATCCCAGCGTGGGAAGGGGAAGAGCACATCTCCACCAATCAAGAACGAAAAGAGCTGGTCGCCTAGCAACGTGACTCCGGCGGGCCCCGCACAGCCAATGGCGTTTGAGGGGGCGGGAGGCAGGCATGTGATTGGTGTGCACTCGACCAATCACGCTTAGAGAGCGGCAGGAAAGGCGCTCCTAACGCTCTGATTGGCCTCTCCTAAGCAAGCCCCGCCTCCCAAAAGCAGACCACGCCTCTTTCTCCACTGTGGCCGTGCCCCCCTCCCGCCTTGGCCCCAAACCTCAAACCCCGCCCCCTTGGCCACTCTTAAAGGCGCCGCTCGCTCTAAAGCCAATGGGGGGGGACGGGGGGGGAACGGACCCGTCCACGTGGCAGCGGGGAGGGGGGGGGCTCAGAGTCTGTGTCTGCACCCTTTAATTGCATGAAGGGAAGGGGGGGCCGGCGGGGGGGGCTCAGGCGCTGCCCCGGCATGGCCGCTTGCTGAGGTTGCCCAGGACCTGCTGCTGCTGCGGCCGGAACGGGACCACGAAGGCATCGGGGGGCAGCAGCGCCCCCCCGTCCTCCCCCACCCGCCCCATCAGGATGTAGCTGGAGCCTGGAAGAGATTTTGGGGGGGGGGTGAGGTCAGGATAGATGGGGGTACAAGGACACCCCCCACCCCCCGAATCCTGCCATGTCCTGCACCCACCTTTCTTGAGGCCAGGGCAGAGCCGGCAGGGCAGGCGCAGGCGCAGGGTGGCCCCCTTGGCCGGGGAGGGCACCCCCAGCGCCCCCACTTTGTAGAGGCCCAAGATGGAGACCACGGCCCAGCCTTGCTCCTGGGGGGGGGCCCGCGACAACGACTTCACCGTCCCCGTCAGCACTGTGGACCCAGAGACAGCCCCGGCCCCATTAACGCAGTGGAGGGGGGGGGCTTCAACCACCCCCAGACCCGCCCATAGGGGTCCCCATCCCCATCACCCCCTATGGGGGCCCTCACCAAAGTCGCTGGCGCAGAAGCTGCTCTGCAGCGACCCCACGCGGCGGCACCGCTCGGGACAGGCGCTGCCGGTGCCCGGTTTGGGGCTGGGGGCCGCGGTGGGGGGAGGCTTCCCTTTGCCCTTGGCCCCTTCAGCGGGGTGGGACGGGGACGGCGCTCCGGGAGGGCTCCGCAGGACGTAGGAGGCCGAGAAGCCGTCGGCCGTGACGCTGAGGTCGGACACGAACTGGACCAGGAGCTCCGGGCCCGAGGACACAATGGGGCTGGGGGGGGGCACAGGGGGTCAGGGAGGGTTGGGGGGCGTCAGGAAGGGGTTGGGGTGGTCAGGATGGGGCTGGTCAGAATGGGGTTGGGGTGGTCAGGATGGGGTTTGGGGGGGTCAGGAAGGGGTTGGGGGGGTCAGGATGGGATTAGGGGGCATTAGGATGGGGTTTGGGGGTCAGGATGGGGTTTGGGGGGGTCAGGATGGGGTTAGGGGGGACCAGGGTGGGGTCGGGGGGGCTCCCTCCTTTGGGGGGGCTCACCCTGGTGTCTCCTCCCCGCAGAACCTCCCCACCCTGCGGGCATCATCGGAGCGGCCCCCGTCGAACACGGCCACGTGATCGTATCTGCAGTGAGCATCCGGCTCCACATCGAACTTCCCGAAGCGCAGCTCCACCACCTGCGGACCCCCCCTTTAACGTCTGCAATGGGACCCTCTGCAGTCCCCCACTGACACCCATAGCCCCCCACTAACACCCATTAACCCCCAGAGTCCCCATTGATACTCATATCCAGGACCCCTCCATTGACACCCATAGCCAGGACCCCCCCATTAATGCCTTAATGCCCATAGCTGGGACTCCCTATTGACACCCATAGGCGGGACCCCCCATACCCCCACATTGACACACATAGCCAGGACCCCCCCATTAACTCCCATAGCCAGGATCCCCACACTGACACCCATAAACAGGATCCCCAATTGACACCTATAGCCAGGTCCCCGCCATTGACACCCATGGCCGGGACCCCCCACTTTAACCCCCAAAGCCGGGCCCCTTCGGACCTTGTCAGGGGGGGCTCGGATGTGCCACGTGCAGCTGACGCCGGGGGGGTAATTCTCCTCGGGCCAGTTGGGGGAGCTCAGGCTCCCCTGGGGCTTCTCCAGGCGCCCCCCACAGAACTGATTCTCTAAAAGGAGAGGGGGGAACCATTTGAAGAGGGGGCGGCACAAACCACAATCGACTTCCCCCACCCCTTTACCCTGCACCGCTGGCATCTGCTCTGCACTGGGACCCCCAAACTCCCCCTCCCCACAATGATTCTCTGTGTGTGTGGGGTGATGCCAGAGCCATGCAATGGGAAGTTGGGGGTGCAAGACCCCCCCCCCCCCGGTGTGTTCGGAGCCAATTGGTGGGGGGGTACTCACCATCAAAATAGTGCCAGGACTCCCCAAATAAAGGGGGGGGTATGGAGCCCCGAGCGGCGGCGTCCCTGGGGGGGCCCTACAAAAGGTCCCGAGGGTTGGGGGGGTCGGGGTCTATTGGGGGTCCCTGCTCTCTGCCGGCGGTGCCTCCCCCATTCCTGTTCCCATTCCCATTCCCGCACCGTGTCCCGGCCCGGGCCCGGCGCTGAACCAGGCGAGGAAGCCTCTCCCGGCCGTGGCCCCGTCGCTCTCCATCCGCAGCAGTAACCGGTTACCGGGAGCCCGCAGCGGGCCCGGCCGGAAGGTGCCGCAGTAGCGGCCGAGGAGCGGCGGGGCCGGGCCGGAGCCCCCGAACACCGACAGCGAATCGAAGCGGCAGCGGGCGTCCGGCTCCAGGTCGAAGACCCGGAAGGACAGCGAGGCCGTTTGCCCCTCGGGGACCTGCGGGGGAAGGGGACGACACGGGCGCTGTGAGCGCGCCCGGGGCACCAGGGGGTACCGGGGTAAGGCTGGGGGGCCCGGGGTGTCCGTACCGTGATGCTCCATGTGCAGTTGCTGTGGGGCGGGTAGTGCCGCGGGAAGCCCTCGCTGGCCACGTAGCCCGACTCGCCGCGGAGCTCCCCCCCGCACGGGAACACGGGCCTGGGGACGGGGTAACCGGTTACCGGAGCTGGGACCGGGGTGAATGGGGGGGGGGTGTCTCGGTTATGGGGAGGGGGGGGCCGTTACCTGGTGAGGTTGGGGGCCGGGTCCTGCCCCTCGGCCGGGCACAGGGCGCTGAGCAGCAGCGGGAGCAGCACCGGGACCCGGCTCATGGCGCCGAGTGGCGACGGGGGGGGAACGGAACGAGGCCACGGCCACAAAGGGGCGGAGACAAGGGCAGACACGCCCCCAACGCGCTGCGGTTGAATGGGGAAGACGCGGGGGCGTGGGAAGACGGGCGGAGCTTCCCACCCGTATTCCCTTTAATAGAGAAAGGGGCGGGGTGACGCTACCAGCTGCACCTCCTTAAATGGCAAGGGGGGCGGTGCCTCGGCAAGCCACGTTCCCCAATGCCCTTTAATGGCGAAACGGGCAGGGTAGAGCCAAGAGCGGAGTCTTCTCCAAAGCACGTCCCCGCTATGTCCTTTAATGGCGAAGGAGGCGGGGCCATATGCGGGGGACGGTGTTTCCGCGTGCCACGCCCCCAGGGGTTGTTGCCATATATGGGAGAAAAGGCGGGGAGAGTCCGCCACACCCCCTCACAGCCACGAAAGTGGGCGTGGTTTCCCGCGGGGGCGTGGCCACCGGCTGGCGCGGGACAGGTGAGGAATTTCATGAGCTTTTACTCTTTAATTAGGGGTCACCCTTTAATGAGCACCTCCCCCTCATTGGGCCCCCCCCTCTCCCGGGGCCCATCTCTAAGCGTGGGGGCCCCGCGACTTGAGGTCCGGCGCCGAGCGCTGCCGCCGGATGCGCGGCGGAGTCCTCCCGCTTAGGGGGCGCCCTTCGGCGTGAGGAGGGGGCGTGTCCGCGGCGGCCGTGGGCGTGTCCTCGGCGAGGGGCGTGGCCCGGTGCTGGGGGTTGCTCTTAAAGGGGAAGCGCAGGCGGGCGGGGTCCTGCAGGGGGCGTGGCCGCAGCGCCGGCGGTTGTAGCGCCCCCCAGAGGCGCGCCTGCTCCTGCCGCAGCCAGCGGAGGCGGCCGCGCCGGAACGCGGGGTCCCGTTGCATGAGCAGCGACAACCGCGAGGGGGGCGAGGGCGGCGGCGACGGGGAGGGGGCGGCCGGGCTGGGGGGGGACGGGGACGGGTCGGGGTCGTCGTCGTCCTGTGGGGGGTAAAGGGGAACACGGGGGGTTACGGGGGTGCTGGGGGGCTGGGCTCGGGCGGTGGGGTGCCCGTGGGGCGCTCACCGCGGGCAGGGGCAGGGCGCGCTCCATGCGCCCCACGCGGTCCCGCAGCGCCCGGAGCTGCTCGTCCTTGGCGCTGTTCTGGCGCCTCACGTCCCGCAGGATCCCCGCCAGGCGCTGCAGGTGCGCGCGCAGCCCGGCCACCTCTGCACCGGCACCACCGGCGTCCTCGGTGTCCCCCGGGGTCCCCCGGTTCTGCGGCGGCTCCGGCGTCAGCGCCCGGCGCTGCGGGATCTGGTAAACCCGGAGCGGCTCCCGGCGCCTCCCAGTGCGACGCGAGGAGGGGGGCACGGCCTGGAGGAGGCAGGAGGTGATGGACACCCAAGGGACATTGAGGACCACACATCCCATATCCTATATCCTACATCACATATTCCATATCCGATATCCCACATCCCATATCCCACATTCCATATTCTATATCCCATATCCCACATCCCGTATCCCACACTCCATATCCTATATCCCATATCCCACATCCCATGTCCTCATATCCCACATCCCATATCCTCATATCCCAAATCCTATATCCCATATCCCACATCCCATATCCTATATCCCATATCCCACATCCCATGTCCTCATATCCCAAATCCCACATCCCATGTCCTCATATCCCACATCCTATATCCCATATCCCACATCCCATATTCCACACCCCATCTCCCATATACCACATCCCATATCCCTCACCTCTCGCTGCTCCTCAGCTGTTTCCTCCTCTCCCTGGTGCCGGTTCTCTGGGTCCTGCAGCCTGTGGGGCACACACATAGGGTGACCCCCCCCATATCCCCCCATTGTCCCCCTGCCCACTGTCCCCATTGCCCTCACCTGGGGATCCCCCCTGGCCGCACGTCAATGCCCTGCAGCTCCAGCAGCTCCCGCTGTGCCTGGCTCCAGTCCGGGGGGGTCTCGGGGGGGCCCTGGCTCCGCTCCCGCTCCCTGTCCTGCTCCCGCTGGCGCCGCGCCTGCTCAGGGTGCGTGAAGCGGAAGACGTGGCTCTGGCCCAGCACCAGGCGGCTTCCTGGGGGAATGGCAGAAATGGGGGGAAAATGGGGATGTGGGGGGAGTCAGAAATGGGGTGGTTCAGGTAGGAATTGGGGTTTTAGATGGGGTTTTAAATATGCGGGGCACCCGCATGGATTTGGGTGCGTTTTGCGGTAGTTTAGGGTTTTGGGGTGTTTTTTGCTGTTTCGGTGTGTTTTGGAGTGGTTTTGGCGTGTTTTAGGGGTCCTTACCTGATTGGAGCACCACGGGCTCTGTCACCCGCTGCCCATTGACATAGGTCTCAGCTCCCTCACACGGCTCCAGCGTCACCACCACTGGTTTGGGGGACACACACACAAAGGGGGTTCACGACACCGAGAAGTGGGGGGACCCCCCCAAATCCACCCGAAACCCCCCCTAAATCCACCCCAATCCCACCCAAAACCCCATGTGCCCCCTTAGCACCCCATACCTGAGGGGGCTGCGGCACCCTGCTCCCATGGCAGCAGTGGGGGGGGGATAAAGAAGAATTATGGGGTGCAAAGGGGGTGGAAGGGGAAGCGGGGGGCACCCCCAAAGGGGGTTTCCTACCTTCACCCGTTGGGCCGGGCTGGCTGCGGAACAGGCAATGCTGCTCCTCAATGAGGGGTCCTGAGAGCTTGATGTCCACGTTCACTCGACCCACTCTATGAGGGTGCAATAAATTGGGGTCCCTACAGGGGTGTGGGGGTGTCTATAGGGGTTTGGGGTTCATATAGGGCTTGGGGTGCCCCATTCACCTGGTGACCCCATCCTTGATGTGGTACAGGAGGCACTCGGACATCAGGGGGTCCTCATTGAGGTTCACCAAATGCGGGGTCTTTAGGGGGGGGAAACCCCAAAAATAAGCCTTTGGGGGTCAAAGGAGGTTGCCCCATAGCGGGGGGTAGGGGGGTGGGGATGTTCCCCCCGGGACTCGCCTTTTTAGGTGTGAAGACCCCAACGGTGCCGCCGTCCTCCCGCAGCGCTACGCCCATCTCGGCCAACAGCGCCTCCCTGTGGACAGCGAGGGTATTGCGGGTGATGGGGGTAATGGGGAGAGTTTGGGGGGGCATGGGGCTAGGAGGGGGTTGGGGGCCCCATGTGGATGATTTGGGGTGCAATTGATGGGGTTTGGGGTGTTTCGGGGTGTTCTGGGGTGTTTTGAGTGGCTTTGGACTGTTCTGGGGTGGTTTTGGATGGATGGGTTTAGGGTGGTTTTGAGGTGTTTTGGGGGTGCATTTTGGCGTTTTTGGGCGTTTCACGGTGGTTTTGAGGTATTTTAGGGGTGATTTGGGGAGGTTTTGGAGTGTTTCTGGGTGTTTTAGGAGTGTTTTTGGGTATTTTAGGAGTGGTTTTGAGTGTTTTAGGGGTGTTTGCTGTGCTGGCTCCTCCCGCACCGCTCCAGCCGCAGCGCCTCCGTCCGACGCAGCTTCTGCTCCCAGGTTTCGTTCAGGTCTGCTATGATCTTCTCCGTCTCCTGGGGGGACCCACGATGGGGGATGTCTTGGGAGTCTTTCTGGGGTGGTTTGGGGTTGTTTTGGGGTATTTTGGGGAGTTTTTTAGGGAGTCACCTGCAGCCTCTCCATCGCCTCCACAGCGCTGAGAGCAGGCAGCGGCTCCGTGGCCCCATTGACGGCGGCGGGAAGGGGCTGCTCGGCAGGGGGGGGTTCAGCGGGGGGCTCTGGGGGGGCAGATATGGGGGTTAAGGGGGGCTTAGAAGCCCCCGGTGCCCCCAGACCAACAAGCACCCCACAACCCCCCCCCCCAGCATCCCCTAAACCCCCCCAACCCCCCCCCATGTGCCCCCGATACGCACCGTGGTTGGGCCCGGTGCGGGGCGGGCCCTGCGCGCGGAGCAGTTCCCGCAGCCGCGCCACCTCCCGCCGCAGCTCGCGGATGAGGCGCGCGTTCGGGTCCTCGTTCACCACCGCGTGGCACCGGATGTGCCGCGTCCGGTCCGCGTACCTGGGGGAAGGCAGAGAGGAGGTGGGGCACCCAAAACAGCTCCAAAATACCCCGAAACACCCCAAAATACCCCTGAAACACCCAAAATCAGCCCCAAAACCACACCCGAACACCCCCTAACCCCCCCGAAATACCTGTAGGACACCCTAAAACCACCTCAAAACCACCCCCAAAACACTCCCGAAACACCCCTATGTACGCCCAGATCCCCAAAACATCCCTAAACAACCCCGAACTACCATGTAACACCCCAAACCCACCCCAAAGCATCGTAAAACCATCCCAAAATACTCCAAAACACTCAAACCACCCCAAACCCCCACTCACCTCAGGGTGCTCAGCGTCTCCTCATAGTTGATGTCAGCCGGGCTCAGTGCCGCGATCATGGCAGTGCGGGAATTGCCTCCTATGCAAAGGAGCAGGAAGGGCTCAGGGGAGTAATGAGTACTCCCCTTATTGTTATGACCCCCCCAAACCTAAAACAGCCCCCCAATACCTTAAGCACCCCCCTAAAACCTTAAATACCCCCAGAAACCCTCACCCAGGTTCTCCTTCAGCAGCCAGGTCAGCACCGAGTCGCGGTAGGGGATGAAATCAGGCTTCTTCTTCTTGTTTTGCTGTGGGATAATGGCATAAAGGAGGGAATGGGAGGGAAAAGGGGGGTCCTTATAACTGGGGGTGTCCTGGAGCTGGGGGGAGTCCCCCCAGTTGTTTGCAATGGGGGAAAATGGGGTCGTCCCTCCCCACTCACCGCCTCGGCCAGGGCAGAGATGACTTTGCCTAGCGTGGTCAGGGACTTGTTGATGTTGGCACCCTCCTGTGGGGGGGCGAGGATGGAGTGAGGTTTAGGGGTACGGGTTGAGGGTCCTCTCCCCCCATTGACCCCCCCTTCCGGTGTCACCTTAAGGCGCGTCCCTGAGGTCCCGGCGTGGTCGGCACGTTCACTGCCTGCCAGGTCCACCAGGCTGATGCGGCTGACCTGGGCACGGGGGCAATGGGGGGATTCAGGGGGTCCTTGGGGTGTATTTAGGGGTGTATTTTGGGGTGTAATTTGGCCTTTATTTGGGTGGATTTTGGGCTGTATTTGAGTATATCTTTGGGTATTTGGGGGTGATTCGGGGTTATTTTGGAGTATGTTTTGGAGTGATTCAGAAGGTATTTACAGGTGTATTTAGGGCACATTGCAGCTGCATTTTGCATATATTTGGCTGCAGTGGGGTGAAGATTGGGGTGTATTTGGGGTGCAACAGGCTGTATTTGGTTGTACTTTGGGGTGATTCAGCGTGTATTTAGGGATGTGTTTGGGGGCTGTATTTGGGTGTATTTAGGGCTGTATTTGGGTATATTTAGGGCTATATTTTGGCTGTATTTAGGATTGTATTTGGGGTGTTTTGGGCTGAATTGGTGCATATTTGGGGTGTTTTAGAGTGTATTTTGGGGTGTATTAGGATGTATTTGGGGTGTATTTTGGGGTGTTCTGCTGCTGTATTTGGTTTGTGTTTTGGGTGTATTTAGGGCTATATTTTGGCTGTATTTAGTAGTATATTTGGGGTGTTTTGGGGTGCATTTGTGCCTATTTGGGGTGCTCACCTTCTCACTGCAAAGCTGGCTGAGCGGGTCGCGGCGCCGCTGGCTCAGGACGATGCTCAGCACCGCGTGGGACCGGCTGCTCGATGCGTTCATGGCTGTGGCCGCCACCGTCCTGGGACCGGGTCAATGCAATGGCTGTGTTAACGGGGGGGGCGGGTACCCCAGAAGGGGTGGGAGGGGTCCATGGGGGGGTGTCCCCGTGCCCCCCCCTCACCGCGCCTTGTTGCCGCTGTCCAGCAGCTCGGCGATGTCGCCGAGGGACGTCACCGCCAGGCGCGACAGGTCCTGCACGTAGGGGCCCAGCAGGGGGTGCTCGCGCACCCGCAGCCCCCCCCGCCCGCGCGGGGTGAGCAGGTCCCGAACCCGCTCGCAATAGATCTCCATGTAACTGACCTGGGGGGAGTGGACAGCACCAAAGTTGGGGGGGGCAAGATGGGGCTCCCCCAAAGCCCCCAATGGGAGGGGTTTCTACAATATGAAGGGGACTCCCAAACACCCCATGGGGGTTCATTCACCTCCACCGAGAAGGACACCTCGGAGGACCCCTCCTTTGCGACGCGGGCAAACAGATCCTCACAAAGCTGGGGGGGAAGGGGCAGCGGTGGGGGGGGGGTCCTGAACCCCAAACTCCCCCATAGCCCCCTCCAAACCCCCATCCCCGGACCTGCGGGATGAGGCCGCGCTGCCCCGGCTCCGCACGGCCCATCATGGTGTAGGACTTGCCGGCGCCGGTCTGTCCGTAGGCCAGCACGCAGACGTTGTAGCCGCGGAAGGCGTGGAGCAGCAGCTCTGCTCCGATGGCCTCATACACGCGGTGCTGGGAGGCGAAGTGCGGGTCCTCCTCCTGTGTATGGCAGCGTCAGGGACCCCCAAAGCACCCCCGTAACAGCCCCAAACCAGCACCAAAAGAGCCCTGAAACAGCCCCAAAACAGCCATGAAACAGCCCTGAAATAACCCTAATATAGCCCTGAAACAGCCCCAAAACAACCCCAAAACAGCCGTGAAACAGCACCAAACCATCAACAAAACAGCCTCAAAAGAGGCTCCTTGTGCCCCACAATAAGCCCCGGTACCCACCGAGGTGTGCGACCAGAAGGAGTAGTCGAAGGTGAAGCTCTTGGTGCTGTCATTGGGGAGCTTGGGGTTGGTGATGCCTGGGGGGAGATGGGGGATGTGGGGATACGGGGACATGGGATAAGTGGATGTGGATATGGGGATACATAGGGACATGGGAGGACATTGGGATGGGGGGATATGGGGCAACATGGAGATACAGGACATGGGGATGTGGAGACATAGGATATGGGGGGACATGGGTGTATGGGACATGGGGGGTCACACGGGGACACGGGGGGGGTCACAGTGACCCAGGGGGGTCACATGTCCCCTGTGTCACCCCCCTGCCCCTTGTTGTCATCTTGCCGCTATCTTTAGCTCGGTGGCAGCTGCTGTTCCCGGCGAGCGGCCAGGGAAAGCGGGAATGGTTGGGAATGGGGGGGTGGTGGTGGGAATGGGGTGTCTGGGAATAGGGGTGCACGGGGGGGTCACTCACACGTGGTGTTGCCACACATCTGGATCACGCACTTGGCCTGGCGCTGGGTCTCACGGGCGTTGAACGGCCGGACCCGGACAGCCACGGTCACAGAGGCTCCAGCCATGGTCACCCTGCTCCAGGCACAGGGATACATGGACACATGGACGGACACATGGACACACACATGGATCCCGGCCGGATGAAGGGGGGATCCCATCTGGATCCATGTGTATCTCCCCCCCCAACACCTTTATCCAAGGAGAAGCCTATAAATAGCCCTGGCATGAAGCCGGGACATGGAAAGAGCTGGAAGCCGGGAATTCCGCCCCCTCCCCCCAGCACCTATCGGGGGCTTGGAGGCGAGGGACGGGGTGGGGGGGAAAGTTGGGGTTTGGGACCCCGAAAACTACCCTAAACCCCCCCAAAACTCGGCCCCATGGACCCTTTGGACCCGCCCTCCCCCCCCCCCGGTCACTCACCTGCCCCGAGGGCCCTCATCCCCCCGCCCCACAGGCGGTGATCGCGATCGCGGACCCGATCCCGGTCCCGATCCCGGTTCCGGACCCGATCCCGGGCCCCGGGCTCCGGCATCGTCCAAGGCCGGGCCTCGGGGCGGGCTTGGGAGGCGGTGACGTACGAGGGGGCGTGGTGGGACAGCGCCTGGACACGCCCAGCCTTAAAGGGACAGCGGGGACCCCGTGATCCATCTTTATCCATTGTTATCTATCATTGTCCATCGTTATCCCAACATTGTTCCCACTTTTTCCTCGTCTTCCCTCAGTTTTCCCTCACTATCCATAACTTTTCCACTATTTTCCTGTCATTATCACTTAACTTCCCTTTTTTTCTCCTCATTTTCCCTCACTTTTCCCTCATTATCCCTCTTTTCCCCTCATCATCCCTCACTTTTCCCTCCTATTACCTAATTTTCTATCACTTTCCCATCACTTTCCCCACTCTATCCCTCATTTTTTCCTCATTTTCCATCATTTCCCCTCAATTTTGCCTCAGTTTTCCCTCATTTTTCCTCCTTCTACCTTATTTTCATGCCTTTTCTCTCCTTTTCCATCACTTTTACCTCATTTTCCCCTCAATTTCCCTCAGTTTTTCTTGATTTTCCATAAATTTTCCTTAACTATTCCTTCATTTTCTTTTTCTCACGTAGTTTCCCTCATTTTCCACCACTTTTCCCCCATTTTTCATTTTTTCCCCAGTTTTCCCTCATTTTCCATCACTTTTCCCTCATTTTCCCCTCAGTTTCCCCTCATTTTCTGTAACTTTTCCCTCATTTTCCGTCAGTTTTCCCTCATTTTCCGTCAGTTTTCCGTCACTTTTCCCTCACTTTCCATCAGTTTTCCCCTCATTTTCCCTCACTTTTCCCTCGTTTTCCATCACTTTTCCCTCATTTTCCCTTTTTCCTCATTTTTCCCTCAGTTTCCGTCACTTTTCCCTCACTATTCCCTCATTTTCCATGACTTTTCCCTCATTTTCCGTCATTTTCTCTCATTTTCCATTAGTTTTCCCTCACTTTTCCCTCAATTTCTGTCACTTTTCCCTCACGTTCCCCCCCTCCTTCCCCACGGCTCACTCCAGGGCGGGAAAAGCCCCGGACCCCAAACCCGCTCTTGGGCCCCCCCCAGGCTGGAGGAGCTGAAGCAGAACAAGTGGACGAGGGGTTCCCAGCTGTGACCCCCCCCGATCCCGGGACCTTTGCGCGGAATTGAAACACCTGAAAGCGGGAATCCCGGACACTCGTGGAGCGCTTCCGGGGGGGGGGTTCCGGTCCCTCTAATCGGGGGCCCCCACAAACTCTGCCCTTTTAAGGAGCCGCGCGCCGCTCTGTGCCCTTATAAGGGCAGGCCACGCCCCCGCCGCATCTCAGACCCCGCCTCCGTGCGTGCGCGCTGACGCAATCCCGCCGAGGCGGGATACGCACGGCGCCGGCGGCAGGCCCCGCCCCGTCGCAAGATGGCGGAGCTGGACCTGCTCGGGTCAATCCTCAGCACCATGGAGCGCCCACCCGCGGCGGTGGACGCCGAGGCCCGGCGGCGGGCGCGGGGTGAGCGGGGGGGAGACACCGGGGGGGTCACCGGTACCGGGAGGGGGGGGGTAACGGCGCGTCCGGACCCCGAGTTCCCCCCCACCTTCCCTCCAGCCTCTCCTCAGGCGTAGCCCGACCACCGGAGGGCTCCGATTGGTCACTGTGGGGCGCCCCTGGCCACGCCCCCGCTGTGTTTGATTGGCTGCGGGGTGTTACTGAGCACGCCTCCCTGCGCATGGCCACGCCCCCTAGTCGCCTCTGCGGGTGCGAAGAGGCGCTACTGGACACGCCTCTCTCCTGATTTGATTGGCTGGGGGCGTTACTAGCCACGCCCCCGACTGATTTGATTGGCTAAGTGGGGCTAGTGGTCACACCCCCCAGTGCTTTGATTTGACACGTGGCTCCGCCCCCTGCCCTTTTATTATAAGCTACTGGTCCCACTCACTGGCCCCTATGGCCCCGCGCCGTGCCCCATAACCCCGCCCCCTCTGGTGTGGGGCACTGGGGGGGTCTGAGCCCCCTTACCCCCCTGCAGAACAAGCCGCACGCGTGAAGAAGCTGCAGGAACAGGAGAAGCGCCAGAAAGTCGAGTTCAGGAAGAGGGTGAGTGGGGCTTGGGGGCTGTTTATTGTCCCTAGGGGGTCCCCCCACACTTGGGAGACCCCCCCATGATGTGTGGATCCCCCCCCACCCCAGATGGAGCAGGAGGTGTCCCAGTTCATCCAGGCCACCGGGGAGCCGCGGCGCCGCTTCCAACCCATGAACAAGATCGAGAGGAGCATCCTGTGAGGGGACACAATGGCGACATGGGGGGGGACACTGAGTACAATGCGTGGGGGGGGGCTGTCATGTCTGTGTGTCCCCCCCCAGGCACGACGTGGCGGAGGTGGCCGGACTCACATCCTTCTCCTTCGGGGACGACGAGGACAGTCGCTACGTCATGGTCTTCAAGAAGGTTAAAAGGGGGGAAGGGGGTGTGGTTTCCCGCCAAGGGGGCGGGGCTGACCCCCTTTCCCGCCCCACAGGAGTTCGCACCATCGGACGAGGAGCTCGAGGCCTACCGGCGGGGGGAGGAATGGGACCCGGCACGGGCCGAGGAGCGGCGGCGCCTACGGGTGGGCGGGGCTTAAGTGTGGGCGGGGCCTGGGACCAATGGGGGGCAGAAAGGGGCGTGGCTTACCCTACTGTCTCTGCCACCTGTCCAATAGGAACTTGCAGCTCAGCAGGAGGAGGAGGAGCTTGAGCGTGGCCCTGCCCCCCCGGGGCCACCTACCGATTACAAGGACAAATACAGGCACCTGATTGGCTGCGAGGCCGCCAAAGCCGCCGCCCGCACCATGGAGGCCAATAAGGCCTATGGCTGTGGTGAGGGGCGGGGCCAGCGGCAGCCAATGGGGGCACGGGGAGGCACTGGGGTTCCTTACATGGGATATGGGGGTAACTGGGGTGCCCTATGGGGGGTTAGGGGCACTAGGGTCCCATAAGGGGGGGCTTTGGGGGAACTGGGGTCCGCTATAGGGGTTTGGAGGCACTGGGGTCTCCTATGGGAGGCACAGGTGTCTGCTATTGGGGGGGGGCTGTGGGGCACTGAGATACTGAGGACCCCTTCATGGGGGTCTTGGGGATACAGGGGTCCCATTAAGGGGATCCGGGGGGCACCGGGGTTCCCTATAGGGATGTGTAGGGGGACACTGGAACCATTGGGTCCATCATGGGGGGGCTTGGGGTGGCACCTGGACACTGGGGTCTTGTATGGCTATGGGAGGGGAAGGGGACAGTGAGGTTCCCTATGGGGGGATATGGGGGGGGTGGGGACATGGGGGTTCCCATAGCCCCCTATGGGGGGTTTGGGGGTGCGCTGTGGGTCCTGACCCAGTGCCCCCCCCCTCCCCCCAGTGCCAGTGGCCAACAAGCGGGACACGCGCTCCATCGAGGAGGCCATGAACGAGATCCGGGCCAAGAAGCGGCTGCGGCGGGGGGGGGACGAGGGGGGCGCGGGGGGGGCCCCGCTGTGACTGGGGGGGGGGTATGATAAAGGTCCCGTGTCCCCCCCATTGTGTGAGTTGGGGTGGACCCCCCCCAATAACAATGAATTGGGCGTTGTTGTGTTCCAGAGTGTTTTATTGGGGGGGTTTGGGGTGATCCCCCCCCAAAGGGAATGGGGTGCTTGATGGTCATCCACCCCCCTCCCCCAGTCTTACCTCGTCTGTGGGGGTTCCACATCAACTGATGCCGCTTTAAGGCTGTTGGGGGACTAGGAGGGGGCAGGAGTGGGTCCTGTGTGGCACACTGGGGAGGGGGGGATGTACCCTGTGGGACCCACAGGTTATGGGGGCTTCAGACCTAAGGGGCTCATGGCAGGAGGTCTATACCATAGTGCCCTATGGGGGGACTCAGCCCTGTGTGGCTCATGGTGGGGAGGGGGCTCACCTTATGGGGTTCATGGGGGGGGAGGTTGACCCATACCGCCCTACGGGAAAGCTCAGCCCCACACGGGCCCCACAGCGCCCTATAGAGGGGGAGGGGCGGCGGCTCTGACCACTTCCCTCCACCGAGAGGGGGAGTGGGGGAGGGGCAGCCCCATCCTCCCCAAACCCCTCCCCCCTGCCTGGCGGGGGTCGCGCCACTCCCCCCGCCCCCCCCAGTCTCGCGCCCCCTCCCCCACCGTGGGGCAGGAAGTGAAACCGCCGCCCCTCCCCCACGGCGGGAGAGCGCGAGACACGCGGGGGGCGGGGCTGCCCCCTCCCCAGACCCACACCCACCCCCCCATAGACCCCCCTCAGACCCACACATCGGGGTCTCCGCCCCCCAAGTGCTCCCCCCCCTTTCCAATAGGGGTGTCCCATCACATTGTTGGGGGGGTTTGGGTTCATTCACAGAGTGGGGGAGGGGGATTTCCCCCCCCAGGGGTGTGGGGGAGGGTCTTTACCGCCCGCTCGAAGGGGTCATGGGAAGGGGGGGGGTCACGATAACGGGGCAGGGGTCGCGATATCTCGCTTCCCCCCCCCCCGGCTCCGTTCCAGCCGCCCAGACCGAGGGGCGTTTCCAGCCCCGCCAAGCCCCACCTCCTCCCCCTGAGGCCCCGCCCCCTCCCCGGGCTCCCCTATGAAAGGCGCCGCGAACGGCCGCGCCACCGCCGGGCCAATCCGTGCCGCTGCTCCGCATTGCGCAGGCGCGGGGGTTGGACGAGGAGCCGAGGCCCCGCCCCCTCCGTCCACCAGGCCACGCCTCCTCGGCCCGCCAGGCCACGCCCCCCGCCTCTTTTCCCGCCGCCGCCGCCGCCATGAGCGGGTGGGCCCCGTACGTGGACACGCTGCTGGCGGACGGCACCTGCCAGGACGCCGCCATCGTCGGCTATCGCGATACCCCCGCCGTGTGGGCCGCGGCCCCCGGCAAGACCTTCGCTAATATCACGGTAAGGGCTCGCTATCGCGACAGAAGGGGAAGGAGGGGGGGGGTTTCCCGCCGTGGAGTCCCGGTTGGCTCCACCCCCATATGGGCGACGGGGGCCGAGGAGGGACAAAAAAGGGAGAAGAACGCGGGAGCTGCCAGCGTGGAGCGGCCCCGCCCATGGGGAGGAAGCGGGGGGGGGGGGGAGCGGGTGTCTGCGGGGTCCTAACCCCTCCCCCCAGTGGGGTTATTGGGGCTGGGAAGAGGCGACCCCTATAGACACCCCTCTATGGGGTAATGGGATGACCCAGGAGTCCGCATGGTCCTGAAGCACCCTCCCAATAATGGGCTTATGGGCGGTTATGGGGGCTGGGAAGGGGGGCACCCCTATGTGGTCTAATGGTATCCATAGGGTCCTAAAGGCCCCCCCATTAATTGGTTTTATGGTGGGGGGGAGTCCTAAACTTTCCTTGTGCTGGACATGGGGGGTCCGGGACCCCCTTCCCATACAGGATATGGGGGACCATAACGAACCCCCCTATATCCCTTAATGGGGAGACCCAGGCGTCCAGCGGGGGGGGGGGAGACCCCCACTGCCCCCCTCCTATACTGCTTAATGGGAGGGTCCAGGTGTCCGTTGGGTCCTAAAGCCTCCCTGTCATGCCTTTAGGAGGGAGGAAACCCCTGTGGCCCCCCCATGTCACTCTATGGCCCCCCCCCACTCGAGGGGGGGCACGGGGGGGAGCCCCAATTTAAATGATGAAAAATATGAGAAATTTTAAGATTTAAGTGAAAAAGGAAGTAAAAATGTGCGGAATGTGCACTTCCCCGTGGGGGAGGGGCGGCCGCGGGGCTTCCTGTGGGGGAGGGCAGGCGCAAACCTCCTCCCCCTCTCCCCCCCTCCCATTTCCTGGTCCCCGGATGCCTGAAACCCCCCCGGAAATGGGGGGAGGGGGGAGGAAGTGTTGGGGGGGAGGGTTTGGGTTGGGGTTAAGGAGGGGAAGGGTCCATTTAGGGGGTTATTTGTGGGGGTAATGGGGGGGGTCTCCACATTGGGGTTATGGGCTTCCATGGGGCAGGGGCACTTCTATGGGAGGGGGTCCATGGGTGGAACTTCATTTACGGGTCTGTGGTGGCGTTATGGGTGACCTGTCCCCAAGTGCTCCCTGTGGGGCCCATGGGGGGGCTTATGGGGTGGTCCATTGGGGTTCATGGGGGAGGTCCATGGGGAGGGATGTTCTGGGGTGGCCTGGGCCCCATTACTACTCACTATGGGGCCCACGGTGGGAGGTTACGGGGTGAACCATTGGGGCCCATGACAGAGTGGTCCTGGGTTGACTTGTCCCCCATTGCTTCCTGTGGGGGCCATGGAGTGACCCGTGGGGGGGTCCAGGTGTATGTATCCTGTCCCCCCTGTAGCTCACTGGTGGTCCCACGGGGTGGGCTCTGGGATGATCCATTGGTGTCCATGGGGGGGTCTGCAGGCAGCGGAGGTGCAGGCGCTGGTGAGCCCCGAGCGGGGGCCGCTGCTGGTGTCGGGGCTGACGCTGGGGGGGCTGCGCTGCTCCGTGATCCGGGACTCGCTGCTGGTGGAGGGCGAGCACAGCATGGACCTGCGCAGCAAGGGGGGGGCACCCGGCACCCCCACCGTCAACATCACCGCTGCCATCACCAACAAGAGTGAGTCACCTCAGAGCACCCTATGGGACCCACATTGCCCCATAGGACTCTCATCACCCCATAGTGCCCAATAGGACCCCCATCACCCCATAGCGCCCAATGGGACCACCATTGCCCTGTAGTGCCCTATGGGATCCCCATCACCCCTTAGCGCCCTGTGGGACCCCCATCACCACATAGCGCCCCTATGGAATCTCCCTGTCACTCCTTTGTGTCCGTATGTGACCCTCTGGAACCCTCCTGTCATCCCCATGTGAACTTATGGACCCCCCCCCGTCACCTCATGTCACCCCTTTGCATCCCTATAGGACCCTGTGGGACTCCACAGCACCTCTATGGGACCTTATGGAACCCCCCATCACCCCTATTATGACCCTATTGAACCCCCCCGTCACCTCATGTCACCCCTTCCCACCGTTATGTGACCCTATAAAATCTGTCACCCCTTTGCACCCCTATAGAATGCCCCATGGCACCCACACCCAGCACCCCAATGTGACCCTATGGTACCTCCATCACCTCCTGACCCCCAAGTGCCCCATGGCCTTTAGGCCCCCCCCAATTCCCTCTACACAGGGGGTTCTCAGCACTATGGGGTGACCCATTGTGGTCCATGGGGGGATGTGTGGGGCTGGCTATGGGACAGACCCACTGATCCGCCCCCCTCCTGCAGCCATCGTGTTGGCCATGGGCAAGGAGGGCGTCCACGGCGGGTGTGTGAACAAGAAGTGCTACGACATGGCCAACCACCTGCGGCGCTCGCAGTACTGAGCGCCCCACAAGTGCCCCCTGCCCCACAAGTGACCACCCGGGACCCACAAGTGACCCCCCCCCGGGACCACCAGGACCTGCCAGGGACCACCAGGACCTTCAGGACCTAATCCCCCCACCCCCTTTTACACACTCCCCCCGCTGCGGGCAGCAATAAAGACGCCTCGTGGGGAGCTGCTGTGGGGCAGGATGTGTGGGGCAGGCCCCGCTGTGTACGTTTGGGGTGGGGAACGCCCGGGTCCAAGGTGCTGCACCACACCCGGGGGGGGGGGGGGGGTGCAAAGTCCGCTATGGGGCAGGGCTGCGGCCTCCCAACCCCCCCCCCCCCCCCCAAAGCTACAAGAGGCCGTTGTTGGGGGGCAGGAGAGCAGCTACTGAGCACTTGGGGGGACTCGGAAGCCCCCCTAAATGGAACTCTATGGGGCTGCCCCACTGCACTGCGGGGCAGGAAGTGTATGTGCGGGGGGTGATGTGGGGCAGGCCCCATAGTTCGGGGGGGGGGGGGGTGGTGTGGGGCGGAAGCGGCTCCGGCGCCACCGAGGCCTTATAAGGACAACGACGCGGCCGGGACGCTTCCTCCCCCACCCCCCCGTCCTCCATGGGGGGTGGATGTGGGAGGAGGGGCCTGGAACGGGAGCCGTGGGGCAGCCACGGGGCTGCTGTGGGGCTGGCTGGGGTGTGCGGATGATCTATGGGGCTGCCAGCGCTGCTCGGAGCACTTACGGGGCTGGTTGAACTGTGTGGCTGCCATGGGGCAGCCGTGCCGGTTGTCGCCCCAGGACGTACCTGACCCCTGGGACGCTCCGGAACCGCTCCGGGTGGTGCCGAGGGCTCAGCGCAGCCTCGGCCCGGAGCCGGGGCCTGAACCGGATCCGGTGCCCGGGGACAGACCCAGGACCCGGCCCGGTCCGTCCCCTCCCGCCGCTCAACATGGCGGCGGGGGGGTGGGGGTGTGTGTGTGTGTGTGTGTCTCTGTCTACCAATGGGCGGAGCGTGCTGTAGCAGCAACTAATCCGCGGTGGGCAAGCTTCCCGCCTAAACACCTTCCACCAATGAGAGGAGGGAGGCGGAGCGAGGCCGGCAGAGTGGCCACGCCTCCCGCTCCCCTCAGAGTTAGCCACGCCCCTCAATGAAACCACGCCCACAAGCTTTTCCGCTCCTCCCATAGGTTCTGCCCTCCCTCCAGCCACGCCCCTTCGTCGCGCGCAGCCGCGCGGCGCATGCGTACTGACACCCTTCCCCCCCCCCCCATCTCTCCCCCCCGCCGGAGTCACCTTGGGGCGCGGCGGGTGCGGACCCCCGGGACGCCCCCGGGTCCTGGTGCCCTCCGCTCCCCGCCGGCAGCGGGACTCCCCCCGGCCATGGCGGCCGAGAGGCCCAAGAGCTCCCCGAAGTGGGTGAAGTTCCTGTTCGGAGGCCTGGCCGGGTGAGAGCCCCTGCGACCCCCCCCCCCCCCCGGGCACCGACGGCCCCTGCCCCCCCCCCTTCCCCAGTGCCCCCTTAAACGGCTTCGAGCCCCCCCCCCCGGACCATTCAGACCCCCCCAATCGCCCTCCAAAACCCACCCGAAACGTGTCCTTTGGCCCCTAAAGCCCTTTTAACCCCCCCAATAAACTCTGCGGACCCCCCAAAACCCCTTTAAACCCTCAAACCCCCCCAAATCCCCCCCAAACCCCCTTAAGACCCCCCAAAGCCCTTCAGGACCCTAAAAGCCCTTTAATCCCTTCAAACCCCCCTTTAGTGCCCCCTAAAACCCCTTCAGCCCCTACAAAACCCCTCCTGTGCTCCCTAAGGCCCTTTGAGCCCCCTAAATCCACCACAAAACCCCGTTAAGTCCCCCAAACTCCTTTAACCCATTCAAAACCCCCTCTAATGCTCCTTAAAACCCCTTCAGACTCCCCTAAACCCCTTTAAGACCCTGCAAACCCCATTGTGTGCTCCCTAAAACACCTTAAATCCCCCCAAAACCCCTTTATCCACTTCAACCCCCCCAAGTCCCCCCAAAACCCATTCAAGGACCCCCAAAAGCCCTTAAGACCCCACTGACCCCCCCAAACCCCACCTGTGCCCCCTAAGACCCCTTGGGCCTCCCGAAATCCATATCAATTTCCCCCAAAACCCCTTTAACCCTCCCCAAGCTCATTTAAGCCCTTCAACCCCCCCTCTATTGCTCCCAAACCCCTTCAGACCCCCCTAAACCCCTTTAAGACCCACCCCAAACCCCTCCTGTGCAACCTAAGACCCCTTGAGCCCCCCCAAATCTACCTCAGTTCACCCCAAAACCCATTTAACCCTTTCAACCCCCCCTCTAGTGCCCCCAAACCCCTTCAGACCCCCCAGACCACATTGTGTGCTCCCTACAACACCTTGACCCCCCAAAACCCCTTTATGCCCTTCAACCCCCCCCAAGTCCCCCCCAATCCCATTCAATGACCCCAAAAAGTGCTTAAGACCCCATTGAGCTCCCCCCAAACCCCTCCTAAGACCCCTTGAGCCCCCCCAAATCCACCTCAATTCACCCCAGAACCCCTTTACCCCCCGATGACCCCCCTTGACCCCCCCCCGGTGCAGGATGGGGGCCACGGTGTTCGTGCAGCCCCTGGACCTGGTCAAGAACCGGATGCAGCTCAGCGGGGAGGGGGCCAAGGCCCGCGAGTACCGGACGAGCCTGCACGCGCTGGGCTCCATCCTGCGCCACGAGGGCCTGCGTGGCGTCTACACCGGGTACGGGCGTGGGGGCCCCCGAACTGGGCTCGGGACCCCCAGAAACGGCATCGGCGACCCCGAACCCCCCCAGGGACCCCAAAAATGGAACCAGGGCCCCAAAAATGGGCTTTGAGCACCAAAAACCAGCCCTGGGCACCCAAACCTGGAGCCAGGAGCTGGCTGGGGGCCACTTGGGGTCAGGTTTTGAGTCACTTTTGTGGGTTTTGAGGTCTGTTTTGGGTGTTCTTGGAGCTGTTTTGGGTTCTTGGTGCTGCTGAAGAGGGGGATGGAGGGGATGGGGTGAAAATGATGATGATGGTGGATGATGATGGAAGATGATAACGGATGATGATGATGGTGGAGAATGGATAATGATGATGAAGATGATAATGGATGAAGATGATGATGGATAATGGTGATAAAGATGATAATGGATGACGATGATGAAGATGATGGATGAAGATGATGATGGATAATGGTGATAAAGATGATAATGGATGACGATGATGAAGATGATAGATGAAGATGGATGATGATGAATGAAGATGATGGATGATGATGCTGATGACGTCAGTGATGATGTCACTGCTGTTCTCCCCCCCCCCCCCATAGGCTGTCCGCGGGGCTGCTGCGCCAGGCCACCTACACCACCACACGCTTGGGGGTCTATAGCGTGGGGCTGGAGCTGCTGGGGGCCCCGGATGGGACCCCCCCCCCGTTCCTGGCCAAGGCTGCTGTGGGGATGAGCGCGGGCGCCGCCGGCGCCTTCGTGGGGACCCCGGCGGAGGTGGCACTCATCCGGATGACGGCAGACGGGAGGTGGGCATCGACCATGGAGCAGCCCCACTGATCCCTCACTGGGGGTCCTGAACCCCCTTTGGGGTCCCTCCTGACTCCCCCCCCCCCCCCCCCCCCGCCATCCCGCACTGCTTTGGTTCGCTCCAGGCTGCCCCCTGCCGAGCGCCGCGGGTACCGCAACGTGTTCGACGCCCTCGTGCGGATGGTGCGGGAGGAGGGACCTACGACCCTCTGGAGGGTGAGACCCATAGGGGCCCATTGCCCCCCTGTAAACCCCCCTTTACCCTATACCCCTTCCCAATGGCATAGAAGAGGGAGAACCCCACAATGGGGAGGGGTATGGGGGGGTCCATGGGGTGTGTGGGTACCAGGGAGACCCCAAACCCCCTTTTTTCCCTCCCTTCCCCAGGGCTGCATCCCCACCATGGCTCGTGCCGTCGTGGTCAATGCGGCCCAATTGGCCTCGTATTCCCAATCCAAGCAGTTCCTGCTGGACTCGGGTGAGTTGGGGGGGATCCAGGGCTATGGGGCAGCCCCTAAGCTGCTGCCCCATGGATTCCATGGGGCTGCCCTATAGATTCTCAGGGTGCTCTGGGGTGTTGCAGGCCGCTTCCAGGATGACATCCTGTGCCACTTCAGTGCCAGCATGATCAGCGGCCTGGTCACCACCGCCGCCTCCATGCCTGTGGACATCGTTAAGACCCGGTGGGTCATTAGCGCTAATGACCCCCCCCATGATGAGTTAATGGGGGAGGTCTGATTTTGGGGTGTCCTTCCCAAATCGGCCTCTTTACCCCCAACAGCATCCAGAACATGCGGACCATTGATGGGAAGCCAGAGTACCGCGGGGGGCTGGTGAGTTGGGGGGGGAACCCCTATATTTAGATGTCTCCCCCATTAATGCCCCCCATAGACCCACATTGGGTTCCCCCCCATAGATCCACATGGGTGTCTCCCCCCCCCCCCCCGAGACCCACATTGGGGTCACCCCCTGTAGACCCACATGATGTTCCCCCATACATCCACATTGGGGTCCCCACCTCAACTCTGCCCCCCAGGACGTGCTGGTAAAGGTCATTCGCTACGAGGGATTCTTCAGCCTCTGGAAGGGCTTCACCCCCTACTACGCGAGGCTCGGGCCCCACACAGTGTTGACCTTCATCTTCCTCGAGCAGATGAACAAGTGGTACCAGCGCCTTGTGCTCAGCGCCTGACCCCACGGAATCTATGGGGCAGCCCCATAGAGCCAATGGTGTCTGTCCCCTGGGCTCTTAAGGCCGTGAGGTGTCCCTGTAGGGGGCTGTGGAGCAGCCCTATAGCTCTGTGGGGTGTCCCTTTGTACCTATAGCGGTTATGGGGCAGCCCCAAAGCTCTGGGGGAGGGCTCCTTGGCTCTATGAGGCCAGGGGGTGGCCCTGTGGGGCACTGGGGGGTGTTTCTCTGTCCCTATGGGGACCCCATAAAGTGCTTCATGGATGATTCCACTGTCATTGCAGCGGCTGGTTTGGGGGGTGCCCCATGGCAGGGGCTGCCCCATAGCAGGGTCATGGGCAGAGGGTGTCTGGTGGAGGTAGCATGGCTTTGCACTGTCAATCACATGGTGAGAGTGTGTGCGTCACATGATGGATTAGGGAGGCCTCCATATTGGGCCCACATCCCAAACCAGCCACAGAACAACCCAAATTTACCCTTAGATGTCCCCCAAAATGCAGCTTTTCCACCCCAAATTTCCCCTTTTTACCCCTTAAATGGTTTTTTTTTGCACCCAAAATACATATTCTTACCGCCAAAATGGGGCTTTTCCACCCCAAATTGAGGCTTTTTCCCACCCAAACGTGGCTTTCTAACCCCAAATAGGGTTTTTTCATCCCAATGGGTCCTTCTCCCCCAAAATGTGTGTTTTCCCAATAAATGGCCGTTATCCACAAAATTCCACCATTCCAAACCCCAAAATCGCCCTTTTTCACCCCGAAACAGCCACGTTTCCTCTGCATGACCTTTATTCCAGCTCCCCCGCTCCGGATGGTTCCAGCTAGCCCCGCGGGGTGGGAGGGGGGGGGGTGTCCCGCCGCGGGGTCTCCCCGCACTCAGTGCAGGGGCCCGCCGTCCCCCCCTGGCAGCTGTGCCCCCGTTAGTACGCTCCGCTCCACGCCCTCCGCCGTGATGGCGGCCAAGCGCAGCACCCCCCCGCTGGAGCCGTCCCGGGCCATGGCCAGCGCCAGCGCTGCGGGGGGAGGCGGTCAGAGCCCCGAACAGCCCCAACAGCCTTAAAGAGCCCCAAAATAGACCCAAATAGCCCCAAACCAGCCCAAAATAGACCCAAATAGCCCCAAACCAGCCCAAAATAGCCCCAAACCAAGCCAAAATAGACCCAAACCAGCCCAAAATAGCCCCAAATCACCCCGTAACAGCATTAAACAGCCCAAAGGAACCCCAAAAAAATAGCCTCAAACAGCCCCTATATAGCCCCAAAGCAGCCCCAAATTGCCTTAAATAGCCCCAAACCAGCCCCCATAGCCCTTCCCAAACCCCATAGGCCCCCCATAGCCCCCCACCTCCCCCAGTGGACGCACCACGTGTGACCAGTCCTGGCACTGGGCACGGCTCAGGCCGGCTTGAAGGTGGCATCCAGGAAGCCGTAAACGTAGGAGCTGCCGGAGCCGCCCACGGCCAGCGGCTGGCGCAGGAGCAGCCCCCCCAGGGGCACCACGTACACCTGCAGCAGAGCAGGCGCTATGGGGGCGGCTATGGGGCTGGGATATGTGGTTATGGGGCTGGGATGGGCAGTTATGGGGCTGGGACAGGGACTTATGGAGCTGGGATGGATGGCTATGGGGCTGGGACATGTGGTTATGGGGCTGGGATGGGGAGCTGTGGGGCTGAGATATACGGTTGCGGGGCTGGGATGTGCAGTGATGGGGCTGGGAGGGGGAGTTGTGGGGTCTGAGAAAAGGAGTTTATCGGGGGAAATATGGGGTTGGGGTTGCTTCATGGGGGCACTCTGTACACTTGAAGGGCTATGGGCAAAGGGCCCCCATATGGGTCTGAGGGCCTCGCTATGGGTCAGGCCTCACCTGCCCCCCTCGCCGTGGGTCCCAACCAGCCACGATGACGCCGGCGCTGAGCTCCTCGCGGTACCGGTAACACGTCTGCTGGAAGAGGCGCGCAGCCGTGCGCACCCGCGGCGGCTCCTCCAGCTCCACGCTATAGAGCAGAGCACCCATGAGCCCCATAGCAACCCCCCCCCCACCCCCCCCCCCCAGCCCCATAGCACCCCACACGTGCCTATGGAAGGCGAGCTGATAGGCGACAGCCTCAGCCACGGCCTGGGTGTCGGCAGCCGAGCCCGAGCGGCAGCAGAAGATGCGGTCGTGGATGGGGGTCAGCTTGTCCGTCACGCGATTGGCTATGTAGGACCTGGCGGTGATGTCAGCAGTGACGTCAGCAGTGACATCACAGTGATGTCATAGCGATGTCACAGTGATGGCATCACCGAGCTCACCCGGTTGTGGTGCGGGAATCCGCCCCAATGATGACGCCGCCGTCGAACTCCGCTGCCATGATGGTGGTCTGGGGGGGAGGGGGTGGAGCAGTGACACCTCTGCCCCATAACTGTCCCCCCAGCCCCATAACTGCCTCCCATGAATCATAACTGCCCCATTCAGACCCATAACTGTCCCCCCAGCCCCATAACTGCCCCATTCAGACCCATAACAGGCCCCCCGCCCCATAACTCCCTCCCTAGTCCTGTAACTGCCTCCCCAGACTCATAACTGCCCCATTCAGACACATAACTGCCCCCCCAACCCATAACTGCCCCCCAAAGGGGCTCTTTCAGCCCCATAGGTGCCCCATTCAGCCCCATAACTGCACCTCCTGACCCGTAACTGCACAGACCCATAAGTGCCTCCCCACACCCATTACCACACACCGAGCCCCATAACTGCTCCCCAAAGGGGCTCTTTCAGCCCCATAGCTACCCCATTCAGCCCCATAACTGCACCCCCCTGACCCATAACTGCCCATTCAGAGCCGTAACCACCCCGCTCTGCCCGATTAGTGCCCCCAAAGCGGGGCTTTCAGCCCCATAGCTGCCCCATTCAACCCCGTAACTGCCCCCCTCAGCCCCATAACTGCCCCGTTCAGCCCCATGCCCCACAGCCGCCCCATAGGCGCCCGTGCCACTCACGCCGGTGCTGACGGGCTCCTCGGCCCAGTCCCGGGGCAGCCCCGGCTCGACCCACGGCTGCACCACGGCCGCCATCTCCCGGCGCACTTTACGACACCGCGCTTTGCGACACTCGTGTGACTCGGGCGATTTACCGCAATGACGCGAAGATCCCGCCTCGCTTTGCGTCAGCGTGCCTCAGAGCGCGGCACGCGAAGGGGATGCCGCGCTTTATGGCAGCGTGGCAGGCGCCGCGCAGGTCCTGACAGGACGATAGCGATCACTCCTCCCGCCATCCTCCAGCACCGGTTTACTCCCCATATCGCGACTGTGCATCGCGATATTCCATTTTCAAGGCATAGGAGAGGTGTCGATGTGGATGAGAGAAGGGCGAAACGATCTCCGGGGGAGAGAGAACTTTACCCGGGCAGGACCTGTCGCTGAGGTGATGGAGAAGCCAAGATGGCGGCGGCGCTGAGGGGTCTGGCTGCGATGGCGGCGCCGTGAGGGGAAGGAGGAGGAGGAGGAAAGATGGCGGAGGAGAAGAAGCTGAAGCTGAGCCACACGCTGCTGCCCGCCGAGTCCATGAAGGTGATGGCGGAGGCCATGGGCATTGGGCAGGTCCCCGAGGAGAGCTGCCAGCTGCTGGCCGAGGAGGCGAGCTACCGCCTCAAGGAGATCGCGCAGGTACGGGGCGGATCCATTGGGGTTGTTGGGGGGGGGAAATGGGGGACCCCCCTTTGGATCACATGGATTTGGGGGGGAAGTGAGATATGGGGGATCCCCCCTTATGGGGCACAAGCCCCCTTTAGATCCGCTATGTGTGGGGCTGCGCTGGCAATGGGGGGATCCCCTCTTTGCTGCCGCCCCCCCCGTGCCCCCATAGGACGCGCTCAAGTTTATGCACATGGGCAAGCGCCGCCGCCTGACTCCGGGAGACGTGGACTTGGCGCTGAAGCTGAAGAACGTGGAGGTGGCTCCCGGACTCCCCCCCTTGCCCCCCCACTTCATGGCCGGGGACGTTCTGGGTTGCCCCTGACCCCGGTGCCCCCCCCCCCCCCCCCCCCGGTTCTCGTCCCCCCGCAGCCCCTGTACGGGTTCCAGGCCCAGGAGTTCCTCCCGTTCCGCTTCGCCAGCGGCGGCGGCCGTGAGCTCTACTTCTATGAGGAGAAGGAGGTGGAGCTGAGCGACATCATCAACACCCCGCTGCCGCGCGTGCCGCTCGACGTCTGCGTCAAGGGTGATTTGGGGGTGGGGTGGGCTGTTTTTTGGGTGATTTGGGGGTAATTTGGGCTGAGTTTGGGATAGTTTGGGCTGCTCATGGGGTGAACTGGGCTGATTTTGGGGTAGTTTGGGGTGTTTTGAGCTGATTTTGGGGTAGTTCTGGGTGGCCTCACTTCTCCTCCTCTCTCCCCAGCTCACTGGCTCAGCATTGAGGGGGTGCAACCAGCCATCCCTGAGAACCCCCCTCCTGGTGCGTGATCCCCCCGATCCTCCTCCTCCTCCTTTGGGAGCCCTCCAAAGCCCCTTTGTGGCCCATAAACCCCTTTGTCCCCCCATAGCCCCCAAGGAGCAGCAGAAGGCGGAGGCCACAGAGCCCCTCAAGTCCACCAAGCCAGGGCAGGAGGAGGATGGGGCCCTGAAGGGCAAAGGCCAGAGCGTGGCCACCGTGGATGGCAAAGGTAGGTGCCCAGGGGTGTCTGTGGGGTGCCCATGGGGTGTCTGTGGGGTGCCTGCAGGGTTCTGACCCCCCCTCCCCAGGGAAAGAGAAGAAGGGCCCATTGCTGGAGGGGGCCCCCCTGCGCCTCAAGCCCCGCAGTGTGCACGAGCTCTCAGTGGAGCAGCAGCTTTACTACAAGGAGATCACCGAGGCCTGCGTGGGCTCCTGCGAGGCCAAGCGAGCCGTGAGTGGCCCCAAAGACCCCCCTCTGGGGTCCCCAGCACCCCATTGAGACCCCATTGAGGTGCCCTCAGCCATACGCTGAGCCCTGGGGTCGGTGTCTCTGTGCTTCCCTGTCGTGTCGTCCCCCCCCCCCCATTGCCCCAGCGCTCTACTTATGGCTTCTGTCCCCCCCTCCCCTGTCCCCCCCTCCCCCTCGGGGTGTCCCTGTGCTCACAGGAGGCCCTGCAGAGCATCGCCACTGACCCAGGGCTCTACCAGATGCTGCCGCGCTTCAGCACCTTCATCTCCGAGGGGGTGAGCTCCACACTGGGGGGTGCCCCACTGCAATGTGACCCCCGGGCACGGCCCCAGCAGGGTGACACTGGTGCCACACCCCCCCCCCCAGGTGCGTGTCAACGTGGTGCAGAA